TATATATATATATATATATGTATAATGTTAAAAGGTTATGAATCTATTTACTCCTGGTGTTGAATATGTGCATATATACACACATGCACAGGTGCACTCCTACACATATAACTTTCTTTGCAATCGACATTGTTTTTTGTTACTGACCTTGGATGCAACATAAGGTTGTTTGCTACCTAAGGAAGGGACTGTCCTTGTTACCAACAAGGGAGGTCAAACATATACAGTGTAGGTGCTTCAATGATACAAAGCAGCTTTGTTGCGAGTTCTGTGTTTGCTTGTGAAGAACATGATGTAGGTGAAGTAGATTTTGACAATTAAAAAGAGCTAGGGGCTTTTCTTGGAGAAAAATCTCATAGAACAGCAGTGAAGGCTCTCAAATCACATGGAATTTTGACAATTAGTGCTTGAGTTTGAAGCTAGGGAAGAATGACTCATGGAAAAGAGTGATAAGGAGAACATGAGGGAGCTGGATTTCTAGTCACCAGTTTTTTCACATCTTTCTCACCCACTCATCCATTAGCCAAACAAATAAAATAAAGATAGAAAGTCTTTGCATTTGTCAGACACCTGTTTCTGCCAGATGTCACATCTAATCTCTGCCATTAGAAAATGGAGTGCCTAAGGAGGGGCTGAGAAAATGAATAGTAATCAGAACAGTCTTTTCTGTCTTAAAAGTGACCTCTAAGCCCACAGTTGATCCTAACAGTATATTTTCCCCAAAATGCCATATTTAAAAAGTTGATAACTTATTCCTGATTACTTTGTAGATTTATTTGTGTGTGTAACAGCTTTTCAGTTAACCTTTTCAATATGGCTGTTAACCAGAAAGTGAGCCTTACTCAGAAGAGTGGAAGCCCCAGGCAAATGGTCTCTTAAATTGACTGAGAAGGTGAATCCATTTTGCAAGAGCAGCCTCACTTTTCTCCTCACCCCAGTAAATCTCTGTGCCTGCATCCATTCTTGTTTCTTTGCATTAAATCTCAGAGAAGGTGTCTATGCCTTTCTCTGAAACTTAATGCTTCTTCATTTAACCTTTTTCTTCATTCGCTGGGACTTTGCTTCTGTATTTATCTTGTCTCTAGCATCTAGCTTAATGAACCTCTTTCCTCTTGTTCACATATATAGATTTTTTCTGTCTTTTCAGTAGAAGAGATGAAAATTCTTTCTTTGACTACAATGCCTCTCCTGGCTACCATGCTTTCTTTTTTCTTATCTCTGCTGCCAAATTTACTGACTATATGGCCACTACATACTGTCTCTGCATCCTTTCTATCTCTTCTATTCTTGAAGTTCTGTTGTCAGGCTCTCACATACATCATTTCATGAACACTTCCCTCTTTGGAAGGTTACTAGTGGTCTCTTTTCATGCCTAAAGTTTCTCTCCATCCACATCCTCCTCCTTTACCATAGGTTTCTATCCCATTTATTAAATCTACCTTTAGCTTCATGATCCCCCCATCTCCTTAGTTTTCTGTTTTTTCCTTCTCACTTGCCTCTGTTCTTCTCTCCTCAGCATTGCCTAGTGTTCTTTTGGAGAACTGAAGTTCTAGGAACTTTAACTACTTTGAAATATAAACATCTAGATGATTCTAAGTACAGCATCAGCTTCTTCAACTTCTTATCCATTTCTCCAACTATGAACTACAGCCAGGTTTTGTTACTTTAAATTCCATATGCCCCATCTTCCACCTATGTATGTATTTATTTATTTAAAAAACATTTATGGGATCTTATTTTTGTTGGGTGACTAAGACATATTTCAGGTACACTTGAAAAGAATATTCTGCAGTTGTTGGGTGTAGTGTTGTAAGTCAAAGTGTGGTTGGTGGTGCTATTTAAATCTCCTA